GCGTCCGGAGCCTGTGCTCCGCGACGGGAGAGGCCACAGCAGTGAGAGGCCCGCGTACCTCAAATAAAAACAAACTGGTGCTTGGCACTTGGTTAAGACAAGAGCGAATAAAATGCATTGTCCGGGACTGATGGGAGGCTACCCAACTGAGCGCTCAGTTTGAATTACAAATGCTTTTTAGGAAATTTAATTTCACTACTTTCAAGAACATGTACAATACCTGAGGTTCTCTGGAGACTCATGTCCCTTAAAAATAGGTAAATGTACATTGTAAATCAAGTAAACTTCAATTAAAAAAATAAGTAAACATAATTTGTAACTAGTGTGTCCATTACTGATAAGGAAACAAGAGCTTCTGGAATGCTTTCATTTGTTTCCTTTTGTACAACTGCCCTGTACGCTTGTTTATAGGATAATTTTATTCATCACAGACAATAAAAATGTTTAAGAAACAGACTTGAATTGAGGAGGTGTGCGTCAAGGAAACATGCTCTGCCCCGTCCGCCCCCCTCGCCTCCCTTCTGGGCTCCAAGCAAGAGGCCCCTCACCTCGGTCTGTCCCTTCCTCCACGGCCCCTCTTCTGACTTCAGTTTCCTCACTTTGGCTCCTGCCTCGGCCCAGAGCAAACACTCCAGTTTCGTCACCTTACAGAGGTGACTTCTCTTGCCATGCCTCCTCTTGCCGCTACCTACCCGCACTCCTGCTTCCTTGCTCTGCCTGCCCTCTCCCCTCCCTTCTCTCTTCTTTTTCAATCAGTTCTTTCTCAAAGGAACTGCGCTCACCTCCCAGGCACTTCAGAGATCTGTGGCGGCAGGTCCCACGTCCCCCAGCCAACGTGCTCTGGCCAGGCCACCGCCCGGCCCCCGTGGACACCCTCACGCCACCTGTCTGTCTCAGTGCCCTGTCCCCTGGCTGGCTACTCCCGGGGTCCTCCACAAGCGCCCTTCCCTTCATCCCGTAAACGTCGCCCACGCTGTCCCTCTCGCTCTCCATTCTGACCCTCCACCTTCCCTGGGTACCTTCTAGGGACCCGCAGTTCTGACAACATGTATATCCTGGTGACTCCAACTCGGGTCCCCAACCCTGACCTTCCTGAGCATCGCTCCCCTTCGTGTGTCCGTGGCGTCTCCATCTGATGTCCTGCAGAGCCTCCCACCTTCCCCCGTCACCTTCCACGCCTCCCTGCCCATCCCTTGCCAAGTCCTGCCAGTGCGTCCCAGGTATGTGGTGGCACCACCTCCTATCAGCCTGCTGCCTGAGTTGGGCCCTCATGGCTCTTCCCTCACCTGGTCCCCCAGCAGTCTGTGTTCCTTGCTGCTGCCCGGGATCTGTCTGGGATGCAGCTCTGCTCACTTCAATTCCCTGCAACAAACCACTAGCGGTTCCCCACAGCCTGCAGGATGAAGTTCGAGCTCCCGTGAGTGCTGTGCACCCTTGAAGGTCCGGCCCCCAGCTGCCTGGGCCACCAAACTGCCCCGAGCTTCCGGAAGGCCTCCTCCTCTCTCATCTGAGCCTTTGCCAATGTTGCTGTGTAACAAAGAATCTAACTGGCCTTTGTCCCTGGTTCCAGGAGGGAGACCAAATCCTTGGAGTTTCCCTAGTAACAGAAGTGTCTTTGTTATTCAGGAGCCCCTTGGATCATTTATGCAAATGAGAGGATCAGGATGGCTGGCCGCCAGAGAGACCACGTGGTTATGTGATAAGGCGGTTGGGACTCTGGGCCAGACCAGCCTCTGGGGAGAAGAGGGAGCCTGGAGACGAGTCCAGCCCCGCGAGCAGCGTGGCGAGCAGCGTGGCTCTTCATTTGGCTCGTCCTGATTTGTATCCTTCATACTAAAACTGTAATTGTAAGCCTAGTACTTTCCTGAGTTCTGTGAGTTGTTCTAGCAAATTTTCCAACCTGGGGGGGTTGTGGGAACCCCCAGATCCAAAGCCAGTCGGTCAGAAGTGCGGGTGGCCTGGAGACCCCCGGACTTGTGGCTGGCGTGTGAAGGGAGGGTGGCCTTGTGGACTGTACCCTGGTGCTGACTCCAGGGGCTCAGCGCCAGGCCTGGGCTGCAGCCTGGCAGCCTGTCTGCCGGGTGACCGACTTGGCCTTCCAGGCCCACCTCGGCATTATCTCCTTCCCCAGGTCTGCCCTGAGTACTTTATACCTAACCTCCCCCCGCCTGGGCTGCTCCCATGGGGAACTTCTCAAGGGCAGAGGCTGTTTTAATCCTGCAGCACCTCCATGTTCCCATGTGCCACCTGGCACATAGCAGGTGGTCCATAAACATGTGCTGATGGAATGGCTATTTTAGTCCCCTTGGGAACACAGCCATATGTTAGAACGTCTTTCGGTGCGTCTTTGGGACGGCCTTCCACACCAGCCCCTTCTGCCCCCAAACACCCGGGGCTCTGCCTGGGGGAGTCTCCACCCCGGCTCCACTGTCAGTCCCATCACGGAGGCGTGCTGTTGGCGCTGACCTGCCCAGCCCAGCCGTCCCTCTGAGCCCAGAGCCCACGCCTGCGTCCCGCATGGCTGCACTGGGACGTCCTCAGGCCACGCAGGTGCACACTCTGCCGGCCACAAGCCTGCCCTTCTCCCTCATGTCCCTCCCCGCCGTGCAGCTCAAAACCCTCCCCCACCCCCCACGGCTCCCACCGCTCACGGGACACAGACCAGGTCCCCGTTTTGATCCAGAAGCCCCTCAAGTCCCTGCCTGCCTCCCTGCCCCATCTCTGCACTCGGGTCTCAGCGTCCTGCCTTCACTTGCTCTAACTCACCGTGCCATCTGCCTCAGGGTCTCTGCGCCCAAGGTCCCCTCAGCTGGAAACGCACCCCCGCTGTGCGTCCCCCTCTCCGAGTTCCAGTGGCTCAGCCTCTGGAGCTCAGCTCAGAAGTTACTTCCTCAGGCGACTTCCTCGGACCCCTTGAAACAGGTCATGAGCCCCGTCAGCGCTCCCCATCACCCCGTGTTCTCCTTCACGGCCCTCCCGGCTCCGGGGAGGGCGGTCAGTGCCCACGCCTGCGTGGCCGCGTCCCCCAGAGCCGCGTCCGTACGACCGCCCCCCAGCGCAGAGCGGGCACGCAGCTGGTACTCAACCAACGTCTGTCACACACGAGGTGCAGCCTCGGCGTAGAAGTCCCCGTGGCCTGCCGACAAGGCTGCGCCTTTGCAGGCTCCTCCTCGACTTTGCGAAGCCGTCTCTGATGTGGAAGGGGCTCCCCCCCTCGCGCCCTCCTCCCCTGACCTCAGGGGGCCCCACCCGGGGCCCACGCAGACCGTCGGGACACCTTACTTTCCTCCTCCTCTTCCAGTTCCTCCCCTGGGTAGCCAGGCAGGGGGGGCGCAAAGACTTCAGGGTACGAGGGCTCCCCCAAACTGTCACAGGAGTCCTCTTCTGGGTGTCCGGCGTCGTGTGAGCAGGGAGCAAGGGAGAGAGACCACAGCCTGTCAGAGGGTTCTCTGAGCTCAGGACTCCCCTGCCCTCACCATCCCCCTACCCCCCCACGCCCAGCCCGACCCAAAGAGGTTTCTCCAGTGCACACACAAGGGAAGGGAAGGGAGAGGAACGGGGCCGAGGCAGAGGAGCGCGGTCCCACCACACTCGATCCCCAGGGCGTGTGTGTCCAGTGGAGGCTGGTCTTCCCACCTGCCCCTCCGGCCCTCGTGCCTCCCGCAGAGGCCAGGCCAGGCTGAGCTAGATGTGGTGAAAAGCCGCCCCCGATGATGAGAGGCTGTCAGCCCCCCGATACTCACCCATCTCTGGGTCGTAGGGGAGCTGAAGGGCTCCCTGAGAGGAGGGGTCCAACTTGGCCATGCCCACTGTCCACACCATGGCGGCTGGGGAGGGAGAGAAGGGTCAGGCCTCAGGCAGTACTACCTGTGGCTGCCCCCAGGGCCTGGGAGGCAGGCGGGCCAGTCTGTGTCCCCAGAAAGCCTGCACAGGACCCTCAGTTCCTGTGGGTATTTGCTTATGCCCCACTGTTAGGGGGCCGCTGGGGATCCAGACTCACTGACCAGGTGTGGGCAGACGATGCTTCTTCCTGTCTTTTTTGGCCTCCTCACAAAAACAATGGTAATGTTGTTAGTGAACAAGTTTGGTGAACTAATTATGTTTTTGTTTTATTGTGGTAAAAAAACATGTAACATGAAATATGTCATCTTGACCATCTTTAAGGGTGCAGTTTAATAGTGTTAAGTATACTCACACTGCTGTGAAAGAGATCTCCAGAACTTTTTTTGTCTTGCAGAACTGAAACGCTGTACCCACTCTCTATCCCCCAGCCCCTGGCAAGCACCATTCCACTTTCTGTTTCTATGATTTTTGACTACCTAAGATACCTCGTATAAGGGGACTCACAGTATTTATCTTTCTGTGACTGGATTATTTCACTTAGCATAATGTCCTCAAGGTTCATCCATGTTGGAGCACGTGTCAGAATCTCCTTCCTTTTTCAGGCTGAATAATAATCCATTCTATGTATATACCATATATCTGTTCATCCATCCACAGACACCTGAGTGGCTTGCATCTCTTGGATATTGTGAATAGTGCTGCTATGAGCATGGGTGCACAAAAATCGGTTCAAGATCCTGCTTTCAATCCTCTTGGGTCTATGTCCAGAAGCAGGACTGCTGGATCCTGTGGTACTAACATGTTCTCTCTCTCTGGCCTAGAAACTCTCTCCTGAACTCTTACCTCATCTCTCCAACTCTCCATCTGAATGTCCAGTGAGCATCTCAGACTCAACACGCCCTGAACACTCTCGACAACTGCCCTCCGACCCGCCCACCAGCCTTCTCCTTCTCAGTAAGCAGCACCTCCATCCTTTTTGTTGCTCAGGCCCAAAAAACTGACAGTAACCTTGACTCTCTTTCTTACAACCTGCACCCCAACCATCAGAAAATCTCGCCAATTCTGCCTCCAAGATGTCTGCAGAGTCCAAGCACATCTCAACGCCTCTACTGCTGCCCTGGGGCCAAACGCCAACATCTCTCTCCCAGATTATTATTCAGCCTCCAAACCTGGCTCCTGCTTCTACTCTTGTCCGTGATACAACCTTCATGGTCCTGTTAGAACGTAGTCAGGTCAGTCCACAGTCTTCCAGTGGCATCACATCTCACTCAGCAATAAAAGCCAAGCCCCCACCATGGCCTAAGAGGATCTGATCTCCTGCGCTCCCCGCTGGCTCCCTCTGCCTGACCTCGGGGCGCTCCGAGCACACCAGGCCCACGCGCATCTCAGGGCCTTTGCACTTGCCGCTGTTCCTTCTGCCTGGAGTTCTGTCACCAGATATTCCTAAGCCGGGTCTCTGGTCAAATGTCACCTATGACACAGGGCCTCCCTGACCACCTTCTGTAAAATAGCACCCCTCACTACCCTGGAGTTCTTCATGGCCCCCCGCTTTATCTTTCTATGGAGCTCTCACCTCCTGACTTATGTTTGCCTGTTGAGTCCCTGTCTGCCTCCCCTCCTAGAATGTAAGCTCCATCAGAGCACAGCGATGGTGAGCAGAAGTCTGACACGGCTCAGACTTTCCATACACAGTCTCTGCTCATTTTTCAGGCTGTGCCTGGAATGTGCTTTCTCACCCTGGGGCCAGGCCGCCAACGGCTCTCCACGACGAGCTCGGTTCTTCATTTGTACAGAGTGCCAACTCTAGCCATTCATAGGCTGTTTCCCAGTGCGCCCTGCAGACAACTGAGCCCCAGAAATTCAGGCTCTCTACTTGAATAACAGAGGGGAGGGCATGAAAACCACAGTGCAGTGAGCTCCCTGAGGCCTGGGACCTTGTGGATCTTGTTTCCATGGCAACCCCAAAGCCCAGCACAGCGCCCACCACATAGTATGAATTTGATGCATGTCTGCTGATGCCTTTATAAGTACAAATCCCCGAGTGCACTGGCCCCGAGGCCAGCAGCAACCCCGAGGGCATTCCCTTCAGAGACTTCACTTCAACCAGCCACGAAGCTGTTGAGGCAGCCCAGGGAAAGGTAGGCGCACCCTTCCCCCCCAGACCCCCACCCTAAAGAGTCCCTCTCCAAAGTCCCTTATCAGGGGCCTGGAGGGCTGAGTCGGTGGCCTTGGGCTCATGGGAACGCGGCCTGTAGCCACCACGTGCCACTGGAGCCAGGTGGGAGGAAGCTGCGGGGCAGCACCACATCCCCTGGTGTCCTCTTCCTGCTCCGACTTTCCAAGTTTCTTCCTGTCTAAGAGCAAGACACAGCCCACCTTAGTCTCGGAAGGTGGAGCCCTCCTGGGGTCACCGAGGCTGCCTTGTCTCCTTTCGTCAGGGAAACGGTTGACTATCTCCTCATCGCCTCCAAAAGCCATGTATGTATCATATACTCACATGAATATATCAGGGCAGGAAATATGGGCTCGTTTCTCTCCTGGGCAGTTTCTACCAGCATTCTCAGCGGCCCTTTGGGGCACAGCACAGCCACGAGATCTGGGAAAGCAAAGACACCCTTGGCATGTTAAGAAACATGTTTATTCCCAAGCAGCCCCCAGAGAGGAACCAGCCCCCTAAACACCAGGCGTCGGAGCGAGTGTGCCAGAGCCCCAGGCCGAGGCTCTCAGACCACGCCCTGCTGCTCCAGCAATCCCACCCCCGGGTTTCAGCCACGATCCCTAGAGCCTGCACTGGCTGGAGCCCACAGTGGGGTCTGAGCGGTGTCTAAACAGGCTAGCTGCAAACAGGGAACTGCTGTGTGCCTCAGAGACCAGAGGATGGGCTTGAAGTCCCACTTCTCTGAGCCCCAAATTCCTTTTCCTAACAACGTAAGAAGCAGTACTGGTGATGGCTATCACACTGATACAGGCGGCTCTCCATATCTCTGGGTTCCGTATCCATGGATTCAACCAGCTGTGGATCGAATATATTCAGAAAAATATCCCAGAAAGTTCCAAAAATCAAAACTTGTATTTGCCGCACATCGGCAGCCATTTACATATTGTTTATGTTGTATTATGCATTACAAGTAACCTAGAGATGATTTAAAGTATTCGAGAAGATGTGCGTAGGTTATGTGCGAATAATACATCATTTTATATAAGGCACTTGAGCATCCTCGGATTTTGGTATCTGAGGGGGTTCTGGTACCAATCCCCCGAGGATACCGAGGGGCGACTATACTAACTGAAGAGCAGCTAACATTTTGGGTGCTTGTTATTTATCGGTACTGTGCCCAGTCTCAGGGTGGTTCTGAGGAACAAATGACTTCCAGTGTGCAAAGTGCTTAACGGTGTGAGTGCTCAGTAGACATCTGCTGTTGTTAGTAACCATGTCAACAGTCACGATTCCACAGGACCCCATTTGTTTTTTTACGAAGGTGAACTTTCTAGAAGGGGGATCATCCAGGCCTCCCAGGGCGGGGGTGGGGGGAGGGGGGACCTCTCAATACCTATCACCCTTGTCCAGCAGTGAGGACTCAGCCCTGGATGTCACTCCATGGCCCACCCCTGCAAGCTCATGGCCCACCTACCATACACAGAGATGGCGCCCAGGATGACCCACGCAGACCACTCTGGGAGGTACTTGATGAACACCAAGGCCATGAGTGCGCTGATCATGATGAGATAGGCCTGCTGCAGCACCAAGGGGCCCTTCCAGTGGATGCACACCATGCCCACTGCCCCGAAGTTCCAGACGGTCAGGAACAGGGTGGGGTAGTCCATGGCCACATTGTAGGTCTTGAGCACTTCCCTGCGGGACCACAGTCAAGCCTGTGAGCTGGGAAACTCAGTGGAGATGTTAGACCCTGACACAGTTCAACACCCTTCCATCATTAAGTCCCAGCCTGGGTTCTTCCAACCTCTGGCTTCATCTGCTGACATCTCCTTCTCTGTTTCCATGAGCCCTACATGTAACCACCTGAAAAATTCATGAAACGGTGGGGAGTACCCCAATGTCTCATCCTTGGACTGGTTCCCATAAACGTGAGCCAGCATGACCTGGAATACCCTCTGCCTGTGGAAAAGGTCCTTGGAAAAGTGTTCTCTCCTGTCCCTCCAGTCTCTTTGGGCCCCTGGGTCAGGCTGATGTCCCAAATCCAGGGCAAGAGAGATCCCTTTCCCCATAAACTAGGAGGTACCCAGGCCCAGCCCGAAGATCAGAATGTAAATTTTGAGGGGTTTCTGCCCCCGAACCCACCCCCACTGGGGTTCACAGAGAACCCCCTCTGTGATGGCTCTGCGTTATTTGTTTTAAATCAGGAACCAGAAGGAGACGTGTGGCCCAACTCGCAGCTCCACTCCCGTGTCGAGGAGGCCGGGCTCCTGGAGCAGCAACACGTGGCAGGTGTGGAGACCAAGGGGCGCCCTGCCCTCCCAGGTCCTTCAGACCCACTCGTACCACAGGGGAGGGGTCTTGAAGGACCCTGTTGCCCACCGGCTGCCACTCACCCAAGGTAGATGTAGGTGAAAAGGAACAGCAGCATCAGGGAGGACATGATCAGCCAGCCGTGGATGAACTAGACGGAAACAGGCAGCATGATTGCAGGCCCCGGCCCTCGGGATTGATGCCCAGGCCTGGAAACCCCTTCTTCCTTAGGCTCCTCCCTGAATACGTTGGAAGGTGGCCATTTTACAGATAAGGAGGGCACAGAAGTTCAAGGAGTTCTCTCCAGGTAACCCAGCAAGCATACGAAGGAGCTGGAGCTCCTTCAGGTGTGAACACCTAGCACTCTACTCGTTCTGGACACGCCAGGCACATTCCACGCTCTGGAGATAAAGCTGGCAAGGTCTCTGCCCCCACTGGCTGCAGCCCAGTGTGAGGGCAGTGAGAAAACAAACACACAGACACATGTTAGCCTGAAGTGATAGGGCTATGAAAAAAACTTGGCTGGATAAAGTGACAGGAGACCCACTGGGGTGCTACTTTATTAGACAGAGTGGTCAGGGAAGACGCTTAGGTAGCCTGTTTAGAAGAGTCAGCCCGGGGAGTCACCGCCCACCTGAGGGCTTATAGACAGGTCTTCAGAAAGACACTTTCCTCCTCCCCTGGCCAAATAAGGGAGGGTCAAGGGCGAGGGTGGGGCTGATCCTAAACCAGTCCTTTAGCCAGCCGTCAGTGGCATGGTGGTCACCGCTACCAGCCTCCCTGGAGGACAGAACCATCAGTCACCAGCTCAGGCCGCTGGGGACCTCAGCAGCCACCTGGTCTGTCTGCCATGCTGTGCGCACCACCCAGAGGGGAAGGGGCCGCCTCTGGAATGTGCTGACCCTCCTCATCCCACCTGGGCCTGCCCAGTCCACCGTCATCTCCTGCCCGCGTCATGGAGTAAATCTTACTGAACGGAGGGTCGACCTGCCTCTTAACAGTCCCTGGGAGTGGTCACGTGACACCTGCTGACCAGAGCAGTGCCGGCTTTTCACTGGCCATGCTCCTTCTAGCTTGTCCTTACGCGTGCTGTATCCTCTGCTCCAAACACAAAGCCCTCTTCCCTGCTTCCCGCCATCCACGGCCATCCCTGCCCCAGTTATGAACTCTGCCTTGTTTATACAGGTAGCTATTTACTGAGAAGCTCCAGCTCTCATGACACTCCCCCCGACTGCTCACCCCCACCGTCACCCCCGCTGGGACGGGGCTCGTCCCTCTAGACTGAGCCTCCCCATCTGTCTCTACCTGCTCCACAGATGGCGGCAGCCTAATATCAAGTGCCGTGCACGCCTGTGTGTGAACGATTTTAAATCAGGTCATGTCTAGTTCAACTTCTGTTCAGTCTTCAGGGCTTCAAAGCCTTCCTTGGGAGAAAAGCCTGAAACCCGTGCCTAAAAGCTTACGGATCTCTATGGACGATTTGGGCCACGTGGGACTCAACTCCCCTGTTCCTCCCTGGGACTGCCCCACAGTGCCGGGGGCCCGCCCGAACATCTCCCGGTGTTGGAAGACCTCGACACAGCAGCTGTACATCTCCAGCCGAAAGGGAAATGGGAAAATAAAAATGAACTTGGAGGGGAAGCATGGGGTGAGAGGAGCCTAAAACAGAACATCTCACTTCTTCGGAAGGAGAAGCAAAATAAAATTAACTTCTGAACGTGCGAAGTAACCCTATGAACACTGCAAAGAGGAACTCAAGTAAGCGGGATTATGTGTAAGTTCAAAGGACAGGAGTATTAGGTAATCCATGGAGGCGGGCAGAGGTGGGGTGGGAA